ATTTATGCTCCTTGTCGTTCCGATAGAGCGGAGCAATTTTTCTGTTTATTATTTGATTTTTGAAAATGTAGATTTTTTTTTTTTCCACTAATCCAGTCCTTGTGTTTCCATCGCTCAGATCAGTTGAACACTTTATGTTCTGAGACGTCTCCTCATAACAGATAAACTAGCTCACTGTGTGACATCACCAGCTGCAAACATTTAGTTTGTCATATTCACATCATTTGTTTTAAATAGTATATTCACAGCGTGGGGTTTGTTGCCCTTCAGAAGAAGGTCACCTGCCAGAGAAGATGTTAGTTTTTGAAAGTAATATTTTTCATCCGAAATTTTTATTATTAAAGGAGAAAGGAAATTATTAAATGAGAGATGAAAAAAGCTAAGAGGTTTCAGTTTAGGCAAGGGGAGTTTATTTGTACAGCACAGTTCAGTACAAAGATGATTCCAAGTGTTTTACATGATTTAAACTATAAAATAAAAGTAGTGCAGATAAAAAAAAACATGATAAAAGCCGAAATTAGAACAAATAAAACAGTTGGAACAAAATCTTAAACTAATGATAACTCAGTTCACAGTTTAACACAGTGTTAAAATAGGTTTTAAAACCAAGTTGCACGTAAAACATTACATTTGCAGACTTGATAGCATTTTTTTTTTTACTTTTATATTTTAAAAACTCTCATCACACAGTCTTTATAAATATGAGCACAAAGATTTGAAAAACCAAACATTTCAATACATTTCATGATAGATGAATAGTCAGAGTGTCAGAAGTTATTTTTATGTTCCTGTTAGTGTGGCCCAGTCAAATCACAGATCAGGGGCGGAGCTAGAGGGGGGCAGGGAAGCACTGTATTCTAAAGACCAGAATACGGCAGATCCAACTTTGCGTCCTATCCAACAGAAAGTCGTGTCAGACGAGGTTGTTGTGTTTACGCTCATGCAAAAAACATCACTGAAAAATTAAGAAATAAAATACATTACCCATGATAGTAGTTCAGGACAGAAACTAGATAAAGGAGTGATTATCTTTGAGCTTCACAAA